CTGAGAGTAGGACAGAATTCAAGACCTACATTTGTCCAAGTTGGTCTCCGCAGACTTGGAGCTGTCATGTGAGTTCTGAGACTCAATCATGAGTTGAAGAAAATCAACCCGATCCTGGGGAGAAACAGAAGCAGTCAGAGAAGATGTGGGTAGAGGAAGGAGGCAAACTTTGTCCTTGCTCAGGCACTTGCTCCATTTACATCCCTAGTGGTAGGCCTCAGTGCATTTTGCAGTTCAGCCTGGAGACCTTCTATGATCTCCACCAGGTCCCTCCTCTGCACTCAGAAGGCCAGCACAGTGAAGACACAAAAGGCCACCTGGGCTGGACTCACCATGCTGCTGCCCTTGTCTCGTTCCTCCCTCATTTTTTGGAAGACATTCTTGAAGAACACCATGACCTCTGAGGGTAAAAAAGTGACATTCATCTTCTCCAGCACTGGGGTAATGAAGGGGAACAAAACTAAAACAAGAGAAAAAGAACAACATATTATATCTCAAAGGGGCCCAAGGACCAAGAAAGCGGCACAAAGAATAGGAAGAAGAGGGGTAAATTGCTTTTTGTTGCCTTCAGCTCTATTTTGACCTAAGCATGGCTGGCATGCCACAGCAACTGAGTTTCCCCTCCGTCTATCACTATATGGCCATAAGGCCATATCAAGTGTAGCTCTCTGTCACAGAGAAGTTCTCCATCACATCTCTGCAAACAGGGTCTCTGTTTCTAGGAGGGTGCTGCAAAGACCCACATGTGCTAAAAAAACCTTGACTGGTTTCCCTGAGGAACTATTCCCACGGGTCTGCCAGGGTGAATCTAATCCTGCAAAGTGCAGAGCATCTCCCATATGGCAAAGAGGACTCAAAGCTACTAAGGGAGCTACCAGGAAAGGCAGGTGGTCACCCCCTTTGATGTAAATTTAGGGTTGCATGAGATGTGTGTGTCATACCTAAGAACATGAAAATGGGGCTCAGGAAACTGAATTTGAGAAATTTCTTAATGTTGGTGACAAAGGGGTCAGTGGGGTTGTTCAGGGAGTCAATATTCACACTGAAAGAAGTGCTGGTCACCACATCCATGCTGTAGGCTCCAAAAATGCTAGGTGGAGAAGAAGAGAGAGTGAATGGGATGAACACAACCAGAGTAGTAAGTAACAGCCCAACTAGGAACAATGCTGGGGACAGGGAATTCCTTTTAACCAAGAACTCTGTGCAGTCTCCTAACACAGTAGGTCCTGATCTGATTTGGCAGGAGCCATCATTGGTTTCCCCAGCTACATTCACCCCCTATTTATTCTCAGCATCAAAAACCTAGGCTGTAGTTGGAAAGCAGTGAACTGCAGTCTGGGGTAAGAAAGACTGTATTCTGATTTCCATCTGTAAAAAAGATTGTAAATATGACATCTAAATTTACCACATCTTGCAGGGCTTCTGGAATGGGCCCTACAGCTTCCTTGAAATCCATCCTCAGTGAAATGGAACAGGGAAGAGAACACTGATACTCCATTAGAGCAGAACACAGCAAGCCCATCACTGAGGAACACACCATGTCCGAAACCACTGTGAAGTTTGTATCCATAGTTGATAAGGGATCTATGCTGCAGCATGGAAAAGGCTCTCCAAAACTGCCTCTTCCCCACACTGAACACAAATTTTCTCTGTCAGCTCCACACAGTTACTCACTCCTTCATGTTCAGGGACTCATCGTTAGCCACTTTCTTCTCAATGTTCTTCACTAATTTTTCACCATAAAGATTAATGATATGGAACATCTGAAATGCAAACCAAAAAGCAAAAAGCATTGTTGACTCTTTCACCTCCACCAAGGCTGGACAGTCCCACAATGCCATCTGCAACTTCCCAAAGCTTTGGCTCATGGAGGAAGGGCAGGCAAGGAAGGGTACTATTTCCAAGCCTCAGACATTGCATTCTCTCATCTTTAATAAATAACCAGTCCACAGAGTTCATATGACTATGATGGAGTAAGGTTCTTCTCCCAGAATTCACATCTAGCTCACACTCCAGCTAAACATCCACTCCAACATGGCTCCTGAGCACATGGAAAATGGGTACCCATGGTTTGGCTGATGCACTTAGCAAGAAGAAACTAGAGGTCACAGGGCCAACAGCCTCCTCAGCTTGCAACACCCTGTGTGCCATTTCTCCCCCCAAACCCTTCCCCTGACTGTCTCCCCATGACGGCAGGCAGCCACCACGTTGCTGAACTGCACCCAACAATGCAGGTGCTACTGGATGTGGTCTTGACAAAGGGGGTGACTTCCCCATTTGAAGGGAAGGTCTGTTCTCAGAAATAGCCCAGTACTGCTCCAGCCATTGATGCAAAGAACCAGTGGTCTCTGCTTTACCTCCTTCAGCCTCCCACTGGTGAAGGTTGGAGACAGCACAGTACGGATCCTTTTCCACTGATCATCTTCAGCCACGTTGAGGGCTGACTCCAGGATCCCATTCAGACCAAAGTTCTGCACAGGGAGAACATTGCAGCAAAAACGGACAGGGTTATACAAGGAGATGGGGGAAGGTTTCCACTCTCTTCCATGTGACAGAAATGCAATAAGAAAAAACCAACCCCACCACAGAATGCTGACTTGGCCCCTCAAGTCATATTGGCTCTACCTCAACCAGCCAACAACAGAAATGGAAACAAAAGTGTTAGGAGTCATAAATGGTACCAGCCACAGGGCACATCCGGGCTGATGTCCCAGTGTCTCAGCCACAGTGGCCTCCATGCTTCCAGCAGAGTTGTTGTTAGTACTATTGGCATCATCAATAAACTGGGGCACAACAGAGAGCAACTACTTCCTGAAGGGCTCAGAGAAGAACAGAACCCAGGAAGAAGCTATTTCTTTCTTGCTGCACGTGCTTTGTGCTGGAGAGCAAAGCAGGGGATTAGACACCTACCCGGCGGTTGGTAAAAATGCCATAGCACTCTTTCACCAGGATGGTTTTGATGAGGGTGGGGTCCAAAACAGCCATCACAGGCTGCCTGCCATCATAAATCCTAAGCCAAGAGAAACTCACAATCAGTCCATAGCTCCTGGTCAGCTGGAGAAAAGCAGCCTCCTTTGTCTGTGGCCAGAGCCATGCACTCTGCTGAAGCCCAAAGGGGTTGGACCAGCTGAGTCCCCTTTGACAAAACAGCCAAAGGGATGAGGCTGAAACTGGTTTATTATGTAGTAAAGTGGGACAAAGGAAAATAAAATGCCAAGCACGGACAGCATGAGCATTTCTAGTCATCATCTGTGGTATGAAAGAGTTGCCAAGGCAGTGTGGGTTTAGATAAAAGGCAGCTTTTTGCCACAACACTGATCCCCTGCACTTGGGCTGCCTGAGCTCTGTTTCCACAGCTGGAAGCTAGAGTCAATAAATCCACACCAAATAGCCTACCTATGGGGTAAAGAGATTTTCCTGTTTGGCCTACAAGGCAATGAGAGGGGAAAACTCATCTGTCTCCTCCATTTTCCAATAAACAGAGACAGAAAAACTTAAAAGCCATGGCGTGGGCTAAAGGGCAGGGAGCCTTGAGCCACAGCTGAGGGAAGCTGCTGTCTTCCAAGAGGTTTCAGAACATTTTATCTTTCAAAAAAACGTGCTAGGTTTCATGAGGCCTCCTGGGATTTTTCTGAGCAACGTTTTTTGCCTCAGTTTGAGAGGTTCTCAATAGAAGTATGATAAGAGGCCCCTGCACAAAACCAGCAGTGTGCAGGGAGCAGAGAGGCAGGTTGAAAGGTAACTTGTGCCCCAGCCCTGGGAGAAGCAGGGAGCAAGATGAAAAACACAGTGGCAGCCTGCAGCTTGCTTTCTGCTCAAGACAGACAGAAGAGCAGCTTCAAAAGCATGAGGCTCAGTTTAACACCAAGCAGTGGAGTTTTCTGGGCAGGCAGCATGGCTGGGAAGTGGTTGGTGCCTTCCCTCCCTAATGGATCTGGAGCTAAGAGATAAAGGTATTGCTGTGCTGATTTGGCGGGTGTTGGAGGACGAGGGGAGCTCCCTGGGCTCTCTGTGGTGCAAACTCTCCCGGCCCCAGGTCACTAACACTGCTCTTTAGGTTTTAATGCTCCCAAAAGGGAAAAGAAAAAAGGTTCTTTTCAAAGCTTATTAAAAAAAAATTATCCCCCAGCCTGGCTGCCACCATCCCAGCCCTGCACTGTACTGAAATCTCAGCGGGAGAGAAGTAGTGAACCTGGATTTTCCCAAGCTATCACCGGTGGAATTACAGTGCTGATACATGGGTGCAATGTACCCTTTACCACTCTTTTCTGGGGCTGCAAAGCACCCCAAACAGGCTGTTTTGTTCTGCGGAAAGAAACTCACCCCCAGATTCTCCCATATTTTTCAAAGCACATCTGATCAAAATCCCGGAGTCCCTGCAAAAGAAGAAAGGAGAAATGAACAGTTTGCCGGCTAAGAGTGATCAAAGCAAGTCACAGCTGACAGCACAGTGCATCCCACAGACCCATTGTAAGTGGCAGAGGTTGGGGGATGCATGGTAGCTCGTAAAAGTCATGTAGACACTTAGGTGACATTTGTACTGGAGGGAAAAAAGAGAGCAGAGAGGAAAAAAAAAAGAAGCACTTTCAACTTCTGCTAGCCCACCTGAGCTAAAAATATAATGAAAACAAGGTAGGAGAGGGTACACACTTTTACCATGAGCAGAGTTAGCAGGCAGAACTAGATCCCAGGGTGTCCTTTCATCTTCAGCTCAACAAGTCAGAGCTGCTACTGCTTTGCTCTCATGAGATCTTGTGCTGCAGTTACTGAACCAGAGTGCTGATGGCTTTTTTGTTTTGCTTTGTTTCCATTACGGTTTTAACTGATGTTACGTGTAAGGATGAAACTTATGGGACACAGAACACTCACCATGCAACAACTAAACCATTAGAGACCACATGCATGTTGTAAGCCCTGCAAACATCAGCCAAACCATCTCTGCTGTGGTCTGACCCAGCAAGCAGCTCAATACCACACAGCCACTGTCCCCTGTCCCCCCTGGGGAGTAGGGGCAAGAATAAGAAGGGCAGAGACACTTGTGGGTTGAGATAAAAACAATTTAATAATTGAAATATAAGACAATAAAAATAATAGAATATACAAAGAAGTGATGCACAGTGCAACTGCTCACCTCAGGCTGAGCAATGCTCAGTCCATCCCTGGCTAGCAATCCTGGAGGATAGAATTCCCAAAACCCCAACCCCAGAAGAGACAGACTTCCCAGCCAGCCCTTGTCTTGTTGCATGATCTGGAATATCCCAACGCTGCCAATTTGGATCCATTGTTCTCCCAGCTTCTTGTGCACCCACACAGGAGCAAAGCACGGGAAGTTGAAAAGCCCTTGATTTCTCAGCAACAACTAAGAGTATAAGTGTATTATCAACATGCTTCTCATGCTAAATCCCACACTTAACCAAAGCACAATGCTTTTCTAACTACTAAGAAGGAAATTTTCTTTATCCCAGCCCAAATCAGAACAACTTCTTTAATTAAAACTAATACATTTTGTTCTGCATTTGCAGTCAGTTACCAGGGACCAGCTGCCACCTAGTTAGCTGGTAAGGTTTGGTAACTTCATCATAGAAAGGTTTCCCCCTGCATGGGCGGGGACACCTCTCACCAGACCAGGTTGCTCCAAGCCCCATCCAATCTGGCCTTGAACACTTCCAAGGATGGGGTCTCCACAGCTTTCCTGGGCAACCTGTTCCAGTGCCTCAACAACCTCACACTAAAGAATTTCTTCCTAATGTCTAACCTAAATCTACCTTCTTCCAGTTAAAAACCATTACCCCTTGTCCTGTCACTCCATGTCCTTATAAAAAGTCTCTCCCCAGCTTTCTTGTAGGCCCCCTTCAGGTAATTTAATTTTATTTAGAGACCTCTTTGGCTTAGTTTCAGGATAGCCTAACAGCAAGTGGCTTGATGGGCCACTGCTGGGGCTAATTCAGCCTCTTCATAGGGATGACCAAAGCACAAAGAAACATACAGTTCTCAGAAATCAGCAGTCTTAGACATCTCTCTGGTATTTTTTTTTCTTTGTAATTTAAATTATTACTCTCTCCCTGGATTTCTACCTGCTTCCCAGGAGCTAAAGTTCTGTTGGAAACAAAGGGGCTGAAACACACAGCATACCTCATTCGGGTCAAGCAGACTCTAAAAGTAATTTCTGTGTTCTCTGTCCTATCTGAAAGCATAATTTCCATCCAACTGAATCAAGGGCAGGGGAAAGATACACAAAAGATGGGGAAAAATAAGAACCTAAGACAACTATAGAGTAGCAGCTGCCAGTACTCACACGCCGGTATTCCAGGAAAGTTCCGAAAAATGGCACAGGTTGTGGCCCAGCAATGCCCAGCTTCTTGAAGGTCCTGAAGGGCCATATCCCATACCTGCCAAGCAAAGACCACGTGAGATACATTTATCTAATGAAAAGAGAAGGTTCTTCAACCCGAGCACAGCGAACACCTTAAACAGTTGGTTCCTGCCATCCAAAGAAAGCCAAAATTCTGGACCAGAGCAGCAGACATGCTGAGGATACTCTCTTCCTGCAATAAATGCAGGATCACTTGGGGTACAGGATAATTCAGGACACATTTTGGCACAGGACAAGGGTTGAAAGGAGCTGCAGCCCAGCCTAGGCAAACACAGGACACCTGGGCACCTCAGGTTTTTATTTGGGACCCTCAGTTAGTCTCCCAGATGAGAGATCAGTGACTCAGGTGACTGGTGGAAGGTCTCACAGGGATTAAGTTCTCCAACTGAGAGCTGCCCTTGTGCATCTACCAAGACCTACTGTGATGCTCAGGTGGTCGAGCCACAGCAGCTGAGCAGAGACATAACTTATAACTGCAACACTAAGTTCTGGGTGGTATAGCTCACTGCAGCTTCCGAGTGACACAAGAAAAAAAGGCCAATTTTGTCAACATAACTATTTAAACGAGGGCTTCTGGTGGCATGGGCACGGACACCCCCCCTGCCCTGCTCCCAGGGGCACACCCTTCCCCCTGAAGGGCAGTTGCTTCGCTTTTGCACCTGCTGAGAGAAGCAACAAAAACTAAACCAAAACAAACAAGCTTCTTAGCAAGTCCCTCTTGCTCAGCTTCCCCATTCCCCTCAGCAGGCCCGGGGGGAGGCTTGCAGCCCCTTCCTCACCAGCCCTCGCCTTGACAGGGAGACCGAGGATGGCTTATTTAACAGGAATTAAGGCCCTTGGGGACTCCCCCCTCCCCAGCTGCCCAGGCCACTACTCACAGCAGCAGGAGGCAGAGAAACACGGCGAGGAGCAGCCAAGTGACAGCAGAAAAGTGGGGCAGGAGATCCATGGTGGGCTCAGCCTGCCCTCACAGGATCCGTTGTCTAAGAAGCTGCGGCCTTGTATTAAGAATTTATGATTTTCCTTCCTGGCCTTTGGCCGCAGCCCTGGGTACAGGGCCCTGCCTCGTTTGGAGGAAGGAGGAGCCACCTTGTTTGCTCAGTTGCTCAGACTTTAACCCTTGGGCCGGTTGCTGCTGGCTGGGGCCAGCAATGGGCCGCCCGGCTCCGCAAGTGGTGATGTTTGAAGCTGCTGAAAGCACAGTTTTTACCAGAACGCAAAGACCATCGGCTCCCTTAGCTTCCCCCC